CGCGATAGCAGGCGACTCTTTGTGGTTTGACTTTCGCTTCTCCCATGACAGATGGTACGAAACAGCTTTTCTCGTACTTCTTCACCATTGTGTATCTTGAGCGAAGTGCTTGTGCAGATTTCACACCCATTTACAAAGATTTTCTAAATTCAAACATTTAAAGTTCTTTATATTCTAGAAACAAGTCCTTTACCAGACATGCGATTTACAGATCCAAGTCTGTGGCTTGTCTTTTCATTATCTTAGTAGTGTCCTTCCAAAAGCAGCTTTGAATTCGGCTGATGTTTAACTTACCATGTGTTTTTCCTTTGTGGGTTTGACTTTGGTGTTATGTCTAAGGAATCTGCTTAACCAAGGCCACAAAGAGTTGTATGTGTGTTTATGCTGATTGTATAGCTTTGTGTTTTGTGTGTAGACCCGTGTTCCATTCCGCGTTAACTCGTACCTGTGGTATTATGGATCAACGTTTATTTTTTGCACGTGGATATTGAGTAGCTGCAGCACCGTTGGTTGAAAGGACTGTCCTTTCTCCACCGCACTGCCTCCCCACCTGTGTCTGCCACCCCTGCACACATGTGCCTGGCCCTGCCGACCGGCGCTCCGCTCTGCCGTTGTGCGCGTCTCTCTGTGAGCTCTGCCGCCTGAGTGCCAGAGCTTCATGGGAAGTCTGAAATCGGGTGGTGGTAGTTTTTCCACTACTCTTTAATTGTTTGGCTCTTTCAGATTCTTTGAATTTTGTATGAAATCCAGAGTCACTTTATCAATTTCTAACAAAGTCCGCTGTGCTTTTGACTGCAGTTTTTTTGAATGCACAGACCAACATGGAAGAATTGACATAGAAATAACTCTGGTTTTCCTGCTCACGGGCAAGGCTCCCCTCTCCATCGGAGTCGGTTTCATTCACTCGTGTCAGCGCAGGTGGCAGTTCCCAGTGGCAGGTCTCGGGCACCTCTCATCAGATTGATGCCTGTGTTCCATCTGTAGTTTGAGGGTGTGATTATTTGGTGCTCATATGTAGGAATACAGTTGATTTTTTTGGTGTGTTAATCTTGTAGGTTATAATCTTACTCAACTCACCAGATCTAATATCTTTTCATAAATTTCTTCAGTTTTTTAAATATACCCAGTTATGACATCTGCAAATAAAGATGGTTTTGCATCTTCTTCATGTCTCTGTTTTCTGGCCTTGGCGCACTGGCAAGAACCTTCAGGAAAATGATGGAGCAGTGCGAGCAGCCGCCCTGGCCCGTTCCCAGTCTCAGCAGGAAGGCGCCCAGAGCCTCGCCAGCCAGCGCGCCGTCCGCGGTGGGGTTTTCAGTGATGCTCTGGGTGAGGCTGGCGAAGGCCCTTCCTGCAGCTTGCGGGCGTTCTTCTCTGGAGCGGCTGGGGATTTCGTTAATGCTCCTCTTCTGTGTCTGTCAGAGGATCACATGGTTTTTCTTTTTAGTTTGTTAATGTGGTGATTTACATTGGTTTTCTAATGTTAGACTGGTCTTCTGTCTTGGGCTAAACCCTGCTTGGTATGATAATTGTCCTTCCTGTATGTCATAGGAATCAATCTGCTCTGATTCTGTCTAGGGCTTTGTCGTTATGTTCCTGAGGGATGTTGGTCTCCCTGCACCCCCTTTTCTTGTCTGGTCTTGGCCCCAAGGTTGTTGGCCCCATTGAACAAGTTTAGAAGTTTTTCTATTTTCTGGGGCAGTTTGTCAGAATTGGTATTTTTTCCTTAACCGTTTGGTAGTATTCACCAGTGAAGCCATTTGGGTCTGTAGTTTTCTTTGTGGGAAGGTTTTTAACTACAAATTTAATTTCTGTACGAGTTATAGGGCTGTTTCAGCTTTTTCTCCTTGAGTGAGTTTTGATAGTTTTTCTTTTTTCAAGGAATTTCAGTGAAGTTGTCAAATTTATTGTCAAAATTATTTATGACCTTTCTTTACCGTCCTTTTAAGAGCTGTAAAATTTATAGACATTTCACCTCTCTTATTCCCAAATGTTGGTGACTCGTTTCTTTTCTTTTTTTACTGACCGGTCTGGTCAGAGTTGTATCCATCTTACCGATCCTCACAACGAACGCGTGTTTAGTTTCACGGATGTTCTTCTTTTTGTGTTTCCTTGTTCAGGGATTTCTGTTCTAATCTTTGCTATTTTCTTTTTGTTCCTTTTCTTCTTTTTTGTCCTACTTTGCATTCATTTGCCCTTCTTTTTCCAGTTTCTCAGATGGGAGCTAAGATTGTTGAGGGGCGGACCGACCCCCTTGTGTTCTTCCATTGCGTTGGGTGCCGTGACCCGCCCCGCGCCCCCCCCCCCCGGCCGCGTGCCATCCCAGTGACGCGCCCTCAGTCCGATGTGCTTCCATTGTCAGTTCAAGTGCTTCCCGATCTCCCTTTTGATTTCTCCTTTGACCCGTAAGTTCTTTAGACGTGTACTTGGTTCCCAGGTACCTAGGGGTTTTCCCAGCGGTTTTCTGCATGACTCAACTCCCCTTAGATTTATCGAGATTCTTTTGATGGCCCGGAACGTGGTGGGCCTTGGGAGGTGTTTTGCGTGCACTCTTGAACAGCACGCACCTGCTGTGCGCGGGCAGAGGCTTCCGTTCTGTCAGTCACTGAGAGTTCCCCCGCCGTGTGCTGCGTTCGACCATTCCCTCCTCAGTTCTGTGGGTGTTTGTCCTTCCTGCGTGTCGACGCTCTGCTGCCTGCCATGCACACCACACATTTAGGATTGTCCTGTCTTTCTGGGGGCCCCTGGTTCTGTGTGGTCTCCACCCCCTGGTAATTTAGTTTGTTCCAAGTGTGCGCTCTTACTCTGTTACTATAGCCACTTGAGCTTTGTTTTTATCAGTGTTTTGCACGAAACTTGTTTTTCGGTCCTTCTACTTTTCATAATTGTTTACGAGAGTGACCTTCCCACTTGTCTTGGCTGAGAGTGAGCAGCTGCTCGGGAAGGTTCCTGACGCCGTCTGCACCCTGTGCGTGTGGAATGACCGAACGCCGTCCTTTTGCTCACAGCGTCCTTCCTTCCTCGCTGAGTTTTCAGCGCTGGCCTCCCCTGCTGTCCAGAAGACGGCCCCTCTGGTGCTCACGCTGCCCTCAGCTGTGCGCCACGGCCTGCCCTGTGTTCGCCTCTGTTCAGGGAGCTTGGGACACACGTGGTCCCCCGAGGGCAGCTCGGCGTGTGCAGTGGGCAAGCAGACACTGTGTCGGCGGTGATAGAGCTGCGGGAAAAGCAAAGCGTTGAGTGAGGAGATAGAGACGAGGCCTGGTGGGCGGTCGAGGAGGGACCCTAGGACAAGGTGACGCTGGGGCAGGCACGTGATGGCGATGGCGGTGGTGAGGGTGAGCAGCCCGGGCCTTGGGGAAAGGCTGCCTGTGGCGGAGGAGTCGGGACTGCAGAGACCGAGGCCGGGGGGCGCTGGGGCAGGAGCGGGCTCCAGTGGGGCGAGGGGGCGGGGCCGCCGGGAAGTCACGGAGTGTTGACACTCCACCCGGAGACCATCCTTCAGCAGCACCGTGGTCCGCACCGAACAGCACGGGGGAGGCTGGAACTTCTGGAACTGCGAGGAGGGGCAGTAAGGACACCCGCTTGTGTTGTCCCCTCGCCGAGCTGAAGACCTGGCTGGTCTTCCGTGTTCCGTGGACTGCGGGAGAAGCCCGTCCGTGTTAATGCCAGCGAGTGAGGAATGCCGAACCCCTTCTCTCACCCGAGACTTCAGGACCTTCTCCCCCGCCCCCGTATACGACACAGAAGGTCAGGGAGATGAGGCCCCCGCCCCGACCACCTCGCTGGGGAAGGCGCAGGTGGACTGTGTGACTTCAGGCTTGTGCCCTGACTGGGAATTGGACTGGTGACCTTTCTCTTTTTGGGATGACACCCAATCCCCTGAGCCATACCTGTCAGGGTCATTTTATGTTTTTGATGTCACATTTTACATCTTTCATCTAGTGTATCCTTTAACTAGTTATCATAATTGTAACATTTGCCGCTTGCGTCTTTACCCTTCTTACTAGCTTTATAAGTAATGAGTCGGTTACCTTTACTATATATATTCACCTTTCCGGTGAGATGTATCATTTAATGTCTTCTTGTTACTAATTAGTGCCTTTTCTTAGCTTAAAGAAGTCCCCTTCTCGTAAGGCTGGTGTAGTGGTGATGAACTCCTTTAGCTTTTGCTTATCTGGAAAGCCCTTTCTTCTTCGACTCTGAATGATGGCTTTGCCGTCAGATAATCTCGGTTGGCTGTGGTTTCCTTTCAGCACTTGGCCTCTGTCGCGCCACGTCCTCCCGGCCCCGAAATTTCTGCCCAGAAACCTGCCAGTGATGATGGTCTGACGGGAGTTCCCTTGTGTGCTTTCAGTGTTTTCTTCTTGTCTTTAACTTCCGACATCTTAATTACGGTGTGTCCTGGTGTGGTCCTCTCTGGGTTCTTCTCATCGGGAATTCTCGGGGCTCTGAATCCGGATGTTTGCTTCTGCCCGGAGGGCAGGGGAGTAATTTTTCAAGTCATTTTCTTTGTCAGTTTTGAGTGTGCAGGGAGTCTTAGGCAAGTCCCAGCCTTTCTTAATTCTTTCTTTCTTTGTGAAGTATAGCTGATGGTCTTAACTGTCTCTTTGGTGCATCGTTATTTGTAAAATCACTTGGAAAATTGGAATACTACCTAACAGATGTTTTCACACACAAAACATTAGTTAGTGGATTGTTCAAAAGTTCAGTCTTGTTGAACGGTGAACTCTGTGTCTGCACCCGCACTCGAACCACATTTTCTGGTGTTTTCCGCTGTACGTAGCATCACACGGTGTCTTTGCTGCCATGCGTGCGTCCAGACTCAGGTTTTTACTGCAGGCCCGTGGGGATAGGGCTGGGCAGGCCGCTGCACCTCCATTCGGCTGGGCGGCTGTGTCTGTGTGCGGGTGGCAGCTGTGTCAGGGTGAAGGCATCAGCCAGAATAGGGGCAGTGTTGCATTTCAGAATGCAGGAATTCACAAATTTGTATTTTACTGCAGGTATTTCTTGGTGGATTTTTATGCCCCAACGGCAAGTGTGGAGAGCATAGTGGATCACTTGTCTCGAGACATTGATGTGATTAGACCTACCATTGTGAAGCACCCTCTGACCCAGGAGGTGAAGGAGTGTGACGGGATTGTCCCGGTCCCACTTGAGGAGAAGCTGTATTCCACCAAGAGGAGGAAGTGAGAAGACTCACCAGGTTGGGCCTTGTGTCTAATTCACTCGCTTTGGAGCACCGTGGATTACTCATTTGCAAGCTTGGCCTTTGTGTTAAGTGGGTCACAGTGCACCGCGAGGTCCTCTTCGCTGCGAAAGGCGGGGCAGTGATGGCTGGAGCTGCTTTGTAACCCGCGTGGTTCCAGCGCGCGGTTCCTGACTCCGTTAAACTCAGTGCAGTGTTTGGTCGGTGAGATCTCTCTGCCCTGCAACACTCACATCCCTTTAAATAATAAAACATAAAAGTGTCTTCGATTGCAAGCTAGTCATTCAGGCTGTATAACTTGGTGAAATAAAATATCACTGTAAAACCATGCTGTATTGTATGAGTAACTTTTGATCAGACTAATAAACGTGACTTTTAAAAACCTGGGAAGGTGCTTGGGCTTTACCTGCCCCCAGCCTCGCAGCTCCAGTCACCCGGAGTGCGGGGGTTTGGGTGGTGGGCTGCGTTTCCTGGAGACCAGCCCGAGTGCAGAGACCCAGGGGGGCTGGGAGGAGGCTGCCCCTGGTGGCCGGGTGCGCTGGAAAATCAGCACCTGTCCCCTCACCGCTGCATCACGGTGGGTGTGGCTCTCCGTGGAGGGGCACGTGTGTCCCGTGCAGCGCGCTGTGGCACGTGAGGCTCTGCCACCTACCTCCCTGGGCTCGCAGCCTGGGCGGGCCTCCCGGAGCACCTGCCGCCTTTGAGTTCTGCTTCTGCCCGCTGCGTCCTCCCCACGAGGCCGGCGCCAGCCGCTGCAGAGAGGGCGCTGCCCGGAGCGCTCACCAGCAGCGGCCTCTTAGTTTAGGAGGACTTGCAGGAAGAAAAGTCTCCTCAAAAACGTTTTAAAATGTGAAGCTTTTAGCTCTATTAAAAAAAATGTAGAGATAAAAAGGTAAGTTTTATTTTGAGTTTTATACTGCTTTGGCAGGGGAGAGGTTGGCTTTGGGATGTTATGTTTTTGAGACTAAGAACAAACCAGTCTTTGCTTGAAATGGTTGCAGGTAGGGGGTCTCCGTACTTAGCAAATAGAAATGCCGGGTGTCCAGTTAAAGTCCGTATAAACAACAAATCATTTTTTCCTGCAAGCATCCTCCAAATATTGCGTGAAACATAATTATAGCAAAAAACCCAGATGTGTTGACATTTAAGTTCACCGGGGTAGCCTGCATTTTATGTGGCAACTGGAGTGTAATCCCACAAAGACATAAGCAGGGCCCAGCCAGAGACGGGGTCTGCCCTGCTCTGCAAAGCCCTCGAGAAGGAAGCGAAGTCAGCACCCAGCTTCAAGGCCTTGCAGCTGACTCCCTCGGCCACAAGGTGAGTTGGAAGCGCGCCAGGAGTTGCAGAGCAGAGCGCAGTGGGGGCGCCCTGTGTTGCTGCAAACTCTCATTTCCTCGGCCCACTGGAAGACTGCCCTAGAAGCAAACCGGTCCTCCGTCCCTGGTCAGGTCCAGGCGATCTGTCCTGTGGACCCGAGTTTGCACCCCAGTCTTAGAATCAGTAAGGGCTCCCCCCTTTGGAGACCATTCTTTGAGAAGTTCCACGTGTCGTGCCACCCCAGCCCTGGGAAGGTGGTGCCCAGGGGCATGGCTTCTGTGGCGGCTGCGGGTAAGGCTTTTCCTGGAACAGATGCTGGCAATGTGTCCGTCTCATCGGAGCTGGAGAACTGCAGGAGGTTGACCAACCCGCCCACCTGCCTGGGTGCCCTGAGCGGGTCTTTGAGCAACCCCGCTGACAAAGCCTCAGTGTGTCAAGTGCTGGGGGGGACCGCATTCTAAGGGAAATCTCCAGCAATCTCTGTTGCCCCATCTGTTCAGATCCCGTGCAGGCAGGAGGGGCCCCGGGGCCGGGCCCTGCTTCTGGGTAACCTCTGCACTGAGACTGGAGCTCAGGGAGGGGTGGGAGTCAGGCGCCCTGAGAACCCAGGGGAGCCCTGTGGCTCCTTGGTCCTGGACTTCCTCCCTTGGTGACACTGCTGCTGGGCTCTGCCCTGGAGATCAGATTTGTCACTTTCTTGAGTTCAGTCAGTCTCCAGCTTCGACTTTCCCCAGAGGCAAAAAGTTAAAAAATGCCTTTGAAGAGCAATAGTTCAGTGGAGAGGGTCATTAAGAACTGTAGACAGGAAGTAGAAGGGGTGAAGTGGAAATTATCTGGGAAATATTCCACTTCCTGTTTCAGGAGGAGTTTCCTGAAAGTGCTGGCCCCCAGCCAGGGCTCGTGGGTGTGGGGAGCACCCCCTGCTGCCCGGTGGCGCGTCCGGCTCCACACAGGCACCCTGACGCTTGCAACCTGCATGCTGCACGCCGAGAGCCATGCACACGTTCTGCCTGCCACGCTGCCCGGTTCTTTCAGCAGCTCTGCCAGGGGGTGTTGGTGACCCTAGTTTCTGAGTGAGGGACTGACTCTGAGACTTGCTGTTGGCCCACAAGGTCCGAGTGACAGTGAGGACCTTGAACGGGATGACACCATGCGGTCTCCACCCAGGAACGTGAGCTTGCCCCCGTCCTCCCTGGGGAAACGGGGCTCCTGGGGGCCCGGCGTGAAGGGTCGCCACTCCCTGTGGCCGGACGGCGGTGCTGGCACGTTCTTCTCCTGCGCCCACCCGAGCAGAATGTGGGTGCGGGGCGCATCTGGGCCCCATGTGGCTGTCAGAGGCCCAGAGGCACTGCTCCGTGGCCCGCTCCTGCGGCGGACGTTATGCAGCAGTGCGAAAGGCTGTCGTGTCCTCGTGGGCTGCTCGGTGGGAAGGCAGGAGAGGGCGTGCTGCTGCCCGTGGGGGACAGAGGACGCAGTCGGGGAAGATGGCGAGGTCGAGACTGAAGGGTGAGGACGAAGCGTGAGGACCGGGCCCGTGACAGCAGGTGCAGGCGCCTCGAGTCTCCGAGCTGGACCCTGGGGTGGGGGGGGTGGCGCTGTGCCAGCATGTGGAGGGCCCAGGCCGGGGAACGAGGTCCTGGGAAGTGGGGTCGTTGGGGGGTGGCTGCAGAAGCCAAGGGGCCACAGCAGCGCAGAGGCCGGGTTTCAGGTGAGGGGAGGCTCCAGGCGCTCCCTTGGGCTCACGTCTGTCCCTGCGTTGTCAGCTGCAGTGGCCTTTCGGAAGGCCTATTGAGAAGGCCTTTTGTGTTTGCGTGACGTGGGTGGGGAGGCGGGGAATGAGACGGAGGGGCCAGGACACTGGTCTCAGGTGTTCTCCACTGCCGCTTCCCGGAGATGTGTGTCGCAGGAGAGGGTTTGCTAGCCCCTGCGTCAGGGTCCGTCCAGCCCCGGATGGTGGCTGTGATGATGAAGGTGAGCCGTCTGCAGATGGACCTGGCGTGGGGAAACGAGCACTGGGCTCCCACGCGGCTGCGCGAGTTGAGAGCTGCTGCCCCCCAACGCCTGGGGGGTGAACAGACCTCTCCTCGCGGCTCTGGGAGGCCGTGGCCTGCCCGTCCCACAGCTGGGGTGCCCGAGGCTCCGAAAATACGGGGCTCGTCCAGGGCTGCAAAGGGTTGGGGTGGGTGAGGCAAATGCACTTTTTGGCCCACTGCAGCCTTCTGGGGAGGACACTGCCAGTCGCTGGGTGCAGGCCATGGGGGTGGGTTCCAAGCAGCTCACCACCCAGCCCGCCCTGGCCATACCTGGACTGAGGCCCGGGCTCCCCCATGGTGGGAGGGGAGGGTGGGTCTGGGATTCCTCAGAAGTGTTTTTCATCTCTGGGGTTGAAAAAAGGTCCTGAGAACAACAGAAGCAAACGCTAGCATGCCCTGGAGACCTGGCCTCCTTTCTGCACGACTTCCCTGCTCCATAACTTCTGAGGCGTTTTTCTCTCCGCCCCCCACCCCCGACTCCCAGGCTGCACTCACAGAGGGCACACGGCTGGCTGAAAACAGGCCCCAGTAACAATAACTGAGATTCAGACCAAGAACTGGACCTGTGAATACTTGGATTGGGGGAGGGTGGTCCAGCAGAGGTGGTGTATAAGCAGGCATGGGGACAGCTGGGGTGGAGGATGGCAGGTGGGAGATGGGAGGTGGCAGAAGTGCAGGTGTGTTTGGGGGACACCTGGGAGCCTGTGTAATGGGGGAAGGAGCTTGGAGGCGGGGCTTTCGGGAGGCATCTAAGTTTACCATCGGCTGGCGAAGAGACATTTCGTGGGTGCTAAAGACTTCTTGAACTGAACGGGTAATTTCGAAGACTCGAGAATGAGTTCTGTGTGTACTAACTTGGCAGAAAATGTGCCTCTTGACTGACCAACCCCCACGTTGCCCCCACAGACTTGGGGGGCAGAAATGACTACCCAAATTCCCCGTGGAGGAGTGCAAAGAGGGCTGAGGCAGGTGTCCCGATGTCCACCGCAGCAGACAGAGGACTGCACAGCGACCAGTGACCCCCGACTGCACTGGGTGTGCCCCGAAAGGCCTGGTGGGAGCGCTGGGAAGCAGGCGTTGTTCTCTGCTCACTGCGGTCCAGGCCTCGGCCATTGCTGTCAGGAGGGCTCAGCGAGAGCTGTGCACACCTGGGACCGACCCGGACTAGTGCCCGCGCACACCTGTGCCCGCCTCACGCCCAGGAACAGGCCGGTAGGTACTGGGAGTGGGGCGTTTCTGGGGCAGTGGGCGGGGTTCCTGGGCACCTAAAACATGCAGGAGTCAAATCAGCACAGGACTTCGGGTCAGAGACCTGGGTGGCCACCTTCCAGCACACGATCTTGGCCAATTTTTTACCTTCTCTTTGGCCTCAGACCTCTTTACACGGAAGATGGTCCAGTGACCCAGCAGGTCTCACTGGGCCCAGTTTGCTGATGGGTCGTTCCATCAGTGACCAGAGAGCCAGGTAGCTGGCCGGGTGGGGAGGTGGGGAGGGTTCGATGAGTCTCTCGGAGGCTCACTGCTCACTCCTTTCTGCCCTCTGATAAGCAGGGCTGGCGCCGTGGCCTGCGGTGGGCGCCGTGGGCTGTGGCTCGGGTTCTGAGCAGCCTAGGTCCTGCGCTCAACCACAGGGAGACAGAGCAAAGGGGGTCCCAGTGTCAGGATGCTCATTTGCTGGGCACGAATTGCTGGCATCCTCTCTGTTCCCAGGGCGGAGCTTTAAGGGACACACGGCCACAGCAGGAAAGCAGCGGCGAGGAAGAAATCCCTGGGAGGTGGCAGGTCTGGTTTGGGGGAGCCGGACCATGACCTCAGAACTCAACTCTGAAGTTTGCAGTGAGGCGGGCTGTACCTAGCTTACCTTCCACGCTCCCAGCCACCCGAACCCAGAGGGGAGATGAGCAAGAGCTGGGCTCCTGAAGTGAGGCTGTGCCTCCAGAGCGCCCAGGGTGGCAGCTGAACCGTGTCCCCCTGAAAC